TTCTTCTGACAGTACCATGCTGTTTTGACCACTATAACCTTGTAATATAACCTGATGTCTGGCAATGTGATGCCTCTAGATTTGTTTTATTTCTAAGAACTATATTTGCTATTTGAGGTTTTTTTTAGTTCTATATGAATTGAAATGCTATTTTTTCAAGATCTTTAAAGTATAACGTTAGTGCTTTGATGGGGATTACATTAAATCTATAGATTGCTTTGGGTAGTATGAACATTTTAATGATGTTGATTCTTCCCAGCCATGAGCGTGGTATGTTTTTCCATTTGTTTACATCTTCTGCTATTTCCTTTTTCAATGTTTCATAAGTCTCTTTATAGAGATCTTTCATGTCTTTTGTAGATATATTCCCAAGTAATTTATCTTCTTTGATGCTATTGTAAAAGGAATGGAGTCTTTGATTTTGTTCTCAACTTGACAATTGTTGGCAAATAAGAAGGCTACTGGCTTCTGGGGATTGATTTTGAATGTGAGACATTGCTGTATTCCTCGATCACTTCTAAGAGCTTTATAATTGAGTCCCTAGTGTTGCCAGGTATGAAAGCATGCCATTTACAAAGAGGGAGAGTATAACTTCCTCTGTCCGTATTTGGATTCCTTTGATCTCCTTCTTTTGCCTGATTTCAGTGGCTAGAACTTCTAACACTAATAGCCCTGGAGACAGTGGGCATCCTTCTCTGGTTCCAGATTTGAATGGGAATGCTTTCGGTTTTACTCCATTCAATATGATATTGGCTGTGTGTTTGCTGTAGATAGCCTCTGTAAGCTTAAGAAATGTTCCTTGTAAACCTACTTTCATGAATGTTTTCATCATAAAAGGATGCTGGATATTGTCAAAAGCCTTTTCTGCATCAGTTGAAAGAATAATATGGTCTTTGCTTTTGATTCTATGTGGTGTATTATATTTATAGGTTTGCATTTGAACCAACCTTGTGTCTCTGGGATAAAACCCACTTGATCATGGTGTGTAACCCTTTTAATGTGTTGTTGTATTCTATTTGCTAATATCTTGTTCAATATTTTTACATTGATATTCATTAATGATATTGGTCTATAGTTTTCTCTTTTTGTTAGGTCCTTTCCTTGTTTGGGGATCAGGATGATATATTTTTTATAGCATGTGTTGGGGAGGATTGCTTCTTTCTCTATACTTTGGAAAAGTTCATACCTTATAAGAACTAGTTCCTCATTGAAGGTTTGATAGAATTCTGGTGTGAAACCATCAAGTCCAGGGATTTTCTTTTAGGGGATATTTTATATAATTGATGCTATTTAAGTAGTTGACATTGGTCTATTTAAGGTTTCTAAATCTTTCTGGTTGAGTTGTAGAAGGTATTGTGCTTCCAGATATTGGTCCATCACCTCTACATTTTCATATTTCTGGGAATAAAGTTTTTTGTAGTAGTTGTTGAGAATCTTTTGTATTTCTGTGGCATCTGTTATTTCCCCTTTATCATTTCTAATTCTAGTTAGATATCTTGTTTTTCTGTTTCTGATTAGGCTAGCCAAGGGTTTATCAATGTTATTAATCTTTCCAAAGAACCAATTTTTTGTTTTGCTGATCTTCTGAATAATTCTTTTGTTTTTAATTTCATTTAATTCTGCTTTAATTTTGATTATTTCTTCTGCTGGGTTTGGGATTAGATTGTTCTTCCTTTTCTAGTTGCTGGAAATGGCCAATTAGGTAGCCAACTTGCTCTGTTTCTGTTTTCTTAATGAAGGCATTTAATGTTATAAATTTCCCTCTAAGGACTGCCTTTGCAGTATCCCACAGGTTTTGATAGTTTGTGGCTTCATTATCATTTTATTTCAGAAATATGACCTCCTTCTCGATCTTATCTATGACTCAACTACCATTCAGCATAAGGTTGTTTCATTTCCATGATGTTGTTTGAGTATGAAGATTTCTATTGCTGTTGAGTTCAACTTTTATTCCCTGATTATCTGAGAAGATACAGGGAATAATTTCTATTCTTCTGAATTTGCTGAGGTTAGCCTTGTGACCTAAGATATGACTAATTATGGGAGATGATCCATAGGCTGATGAGAAAAATGTATGTCAGTGAAGTATTTGATTTCTCCATCACAAATGAAACTCAGGTTAGCTGGGTATAGGATCCTGGGTGGGAAATTGTTTTGTTTAAGAAGGTTGAAGGTTGATGACCATCCTTTTCTGACTTGGAAAGTTTCGGCTGAAAGATCTGCAGTCAGCCTTATATTTTTCCCTTTGTAAGTAATACTTTTCTTATGCCTGGCTGCTTGCAGAGCTTTCTCCTTCATATTAACATTGGCACAATTAATTACAATGTGCCTAGGAGATTCTTTGTTTGGATTGAGTTGTGCTGGAGTTCTGAAACTATCTCCTACCTAAATTTCTGTGTCTCTTGCAATACTTGGGAAATTCTCCACCATAATGTCTTGGAGCAGAAAATTTGTGCCTTTGGGACCATGTTCATCTCCTTCAGGTATCCCTATAATTCAGATATTAGATTTCTTGGAATGATCCCATAATTCTCTCAGGGAATTTTTTATTCTTTTTCTCCATTTTTCTGTGTCTTTGAATGCTTGGGATAGTTTAAAAGTCTTGTCTTCTTTATCTGAGATTCTTTCTTTAACTGAGATTCTTTCTTCACACTGCTCAACTCTATTTCTGAGGGACTCTACTGTATTTTGAAGTTCCTCAAATACCTTTTTCAATTTTTAAGCTCTGCTATATCTTTCCTCATTATGTCCATAACATTGGTGACTTTGTCTTTGAATTTACTAATTTCTTGAGATAACTTCTGAACTGTTTTTGGTTCTCTGTTTCCATCTTTTCCTCCATTCCAATTATCTTATTTACCATCCATATTCTAAATTCTATTTTTGACATTTCAGAAATTTCTCTGTGGATGGAATTCTCTGTTGTATTTTCTTTGACTCCAGGAAGTATTGATCTGCTCTGATTTTTCATGTTGCCAGAGTTCTTCAGTTGATTCCTCCTCATAAGTATTTTCAGCATCTTCCTCTTTTTCTCTTTTTTAGTATGTTAATTGTACTTTTTTCATGGAATTGATAGATTGTCCCTGATGAGTTCACTCTTTACTGTTGCAGTGCCACTGCTGTACTAACAAAGGCAGACAAGTGGTGAATCCACAGACCCAGACAGTGTATGCAGTGGAAAAAGAATCAGTAGGCAGTACTGGTCCA